GGGACGAGCGGGCCCGCCGCGATGTCCCCTCACGTTCCCCCTCCCCGGAGCCCGGGGCTAGCCGGGTCTGGGGGAGCCCTTCCCGCCGGCTCCTTCCCGAAGGGGGAGCGGGGATCGCGCTTTATCCCCTTACGGCCGTGAAGTGGGCACTGTCACCTGGCTGCCTTGAAGGGGGATTGCGCTTCCAGGTTGCGGCAGCGTTGAAGGAAGGACATGTCACTCCGACGGAGCTCTGCCAGAGGTGCCTTTCCCTCGTCAAAAGCACCAAGTTCCTTAATGCTTATATTACCATAGCGGAAGAAACTGCTTTGAAGCAGGCTGAAGAATCAGAAAAAAGATACAGAAGAGGTAAGTTTGTTAATAATTAGTATTAGTCCTTAAAAAGCTGTTGTGGAGGAGCTCTTTTGTGTTAGATGAAACATCTTTTCTTTTTCAAGCAGGTGAATGCGCTACTTGTTTGACTATTTATTAGGGGATGAGGCTTGCGGTGACACTGCTGTGGGTGCGTGCTTATGGGTGTGTGTGCTTGGCACCCAGTAGCGCGCTCAGTTCAAAAACCAGAGGCAAAACCCCAGGCGCTGCAGATTAAACAGGCGCTCTGGTTCTTGAACACTGCTACTGGTTGCCTCTTCTTTCCTTCATCAGCTTATTTTGAATTGGTAGCCAACAGTTACCACAAACAGGAAGATGCAGTGGTCTTTTGGAGGCCTGTTAACTGAGGTAGACAAACACCTGGCTCAGCCTATCAGAATTTCAATTAAGAAAGCAAATGAAAATAAAGCAACTTTATTAATTGCAGTTATTTGTTGCTGAACAGAACAGCATTAAAACCTGTTATCTGCAGCATTTATAGGCTGACCATCCTCATTTTCCTTTGCGTTTCCTGGAAGACAGAAAAGGGGAAATTTCTCTTGTTTTCCATCCTGGGTGACACTTGCTGTCCTCTGACAGCTTAAGAAAATTGCCAGCCAGAGTGTTTTCTTCCTGACACAGGCATTTTAATTTTCTTTTTTTATTATTTTTCTGGATGCTGGATAATCAATCACCTAGGGAAGATTTCCTCTACCTCAGTAATTTTTTTTTAGGTGATATCTACTGTGTATGTCAGGTAGGCAGAATTTATGTCTCTCAGCCTACGGGTGGAATAGATTTAGGCAACACCTATGGCTCAAATAAGCATTACATGGTCATATTTGAAGAGGTAAGCACTCCTTTGTGATAGCTAATCTATACGAAAGCAGCTGCCTGTCTTGCGGGCTTAGACACATTTGCAGAGCTCGGCTCTGCGGGGTCAGAGTTTGGGCAGAATGGTCAACATTAGAGTTAGAATGAAAGATGGTTCTTGAAAATGTAACAGACAACCATCAAAAGCTAAGTGGATAGCATTCTTGCTTCCAAAAAACACTGGAAGGGACATGTGAAATAAACTGTAATTGGTAAGAAGACTATACATATAGCACACTTTGCTTTAATCTCTGTTGTCTTTGCAATAATTCCTAATGCAGGTCAGCCGCTGGGTGTTTTAGATGGAATTCCTATTGCAGTAAAAGACAACTTTAATACAGCTGGCATTGAGACAACATGTGCATCAAACATGCTAAAAGGTACAGTGGAGCTTTTAAAGTGAAATCAGATCTCATTTTACAGCTCTTGCTCTTCTCTTTAGAGGGTTTATGGAGTGGAGTCTTCCAGAAATCTAAGTATTTTCAAAAAATGAGCTGAGCTTATTTGAGGAAGTATGTTTATCAAATTTCCTCTACCAAGCTCATCTGGTATTACAGGTGCATCTTCTTGTTGTAAGCACATTGTCTCCTTTATTCATACAATGAGATGTTTATAACAACGTGATGTTTAATATAGCCTATATACTAAAATAGAATTGTTCTATAGTTTGTGTTTTGCTTCACGTTACTTTTAGGTCCACAGGACAGCAGTCAGTACTGTTCTACCTAACAAAGTCCAAAGACAGTCTTTTTTTTTTTTTCCTTCTTGTTTTGTTGGTAATTGTTGACTTAAGTAGTTTTTTCATAGGGCTGTAGGAAGAGTAAACATTAATAATTCTTTTGTCTATATGCATAATATACAAACACGTTCTATAAGGCTTTTTTAACTTCCTGAAATTTCCTAAGCTCGTTGTTTCTATTAACATGCCATAAACATTTTCAAGGCATTAGAACGTTTTCATAGCAAAAGTTGAAAACGTTTCTTATATCTGTTTTATTCTGCCCAAAGTAAAACTGATAAGTTTTGTGGAAGATAGCTCAAGTAAATTAGCAGAACCCTAATCTGATCATGGGGTTTTTTATTAGCAGAAGAAACAAAATATGACTTTGCCATTTTAAAAAGTGTTATGTTACCTGAGATGCTTTTCCTTGAAGCACATTCTCAGGCCATTGTGGTTGATTGCAATGTCATGGCTGAGAGTAGTAGGACTGATGTTGTCCTTGTTGTTCCTGTTGAGGGTTGGGGTGGAGAAATCCCTGTCAATATTGACAAAAGGAATTGTTGGCTACCTAGGATCTCATGAAAGTGTCACAGTTCTCATCGTAGTTCATATAAGTGGTCAAGGGTGCACACATTTGATCACAGGACAGCCAGTTAGTATTTCAGCTTGTGGTTAACCATATGCTCCTTTGTCTCACGGTAATGGGAGATAATTCAAGACAGCTTAGCACTTTTCTGTAAAGAGCTGTTTCTCATGTCTTCTAATTTTAGACAGTTCCTGCAGATGGGCTGAATGCAGTAGTTTGGTACCCTTGTGGTAACTTGCTTGTGTGAAGTCTTAGCTCCACACTCTAGAAATGCATAATCCAGAGTTACTGGGTTGTAAGTTGTGGAGTTAAAAAAAAAAAAAAAAAAAAAAAAAAGACATTGCAAACAAAACACCATTTGGTTTACTTTTGCTAAATTTTGGAAATTACTCATGTTATCTTGAAGCAAAATTTTGGCACTGTGAACTGACAATTCTTATGCACAAATAATGACAACTTTGAAGTGTTCAGAGGAGCTACTTGTAAAAATCAGCTGTATCTTACCAATTGCTCTTGATTGTTCTGGTTATTTTCAGGTTACATTTCTCCTTACAATGCTACAGTAGTTCAGAAATTACTGGATCAGGGAGCTGTGCTTTTAGGAAAAACAAACCTAGATGAATTTGCAATGGGGTGAGTGATGTGTAGTATTATTGTTATTTATTATTTTTAGTGTGCACAATTAATAAAATACACACCATCTGTTCCAATCTACCTGTAATCTTTAACTCCTCTTTCTGTGAGGTTAGAAAATAATAAATACTTACCCGTGAAGAGTATATAGAGCTGCATGAATTTCTCCCTAAGCATTTACACTGTTGTGTAAATGATATAAACGCTGAGTTTTGTGAACATAGTGTTTGACTATAGCTATGTTTGAAGGGGAGGAAGTGGTACGGCCTTTGCAGAAGGCCAAGGCCAAGCAGATTTCTTCCAGATCCAGTAGTGTGTTAGTGGAATTGGTTACACCACCAGTTAATTGCTGCCTTTTTGTTTCTCCTTGCTGGTGGTTTTTGCCCTTAGATAATTATGATCATTCCCCCCATGGCAGTCACTGCCACTGCCAGTCAACCGCTGGAATAATTTGTACAGATATTCCCTGATGTGCTGCAAACAGGCTGATCTAGAGCAACACTTTAAATTGCCTAAGCTAATGTTGGTGACTTTTTGTCAGGAGCATGTTGGAAAATGTTCTCACAAATTGATTCTCCAGCAAATTGGTGAAGGCAGCCAAGCTATAGCAGGGAACAGCGCTGGGCCGTTACAGACGGGAGTCTGTGTCACCACAACTGCTGGGTCTGGAAAGGAATGCCTGGGACTTGAGTTACCTATGAGAAACAATAAATGTTGTGTTTTGGTTTTGTTTTTATTTTACCTAAACCAAAGACAGAGGTTTGATTGGGAATTCACATGGGTGGGATGGAAATACTTTGACTGTATTGTTTTGGATAAAGTAATTTCTGTGTCAGAGACACTCTTCAGAAGAACAGCAGGGGAAAAAGCACAGAAAAAACTGATTATGCAGTCTTACAACTAGTCTAAGCTCATTAAAGCACAGGATTCTCCTAAAAAGCTTTATCCTACAGCTGGCCTCTCATCTCTGGTCTATGTGTTTGCATGATCTCTCATGCTAGCACCAACACAACTGCACCATGAGCTTGAACAGGGAGCAGATCCAGCTCTAAATGGTAATGATGTCTCAATAAAGTTAGTTTTCAACTTCTGTGTCAACTGCGCACTCTGATGATTTGGCTAATATAACACTGGCAGCCTGGAGTCAGGGGGAATGTGGGGTGAAGGTTGTGAGGAAGGACAAAAGTACCCCCTGCCCCTGCTTCTGGTGGCAGCTCACACTTAGGTGACCACAAGGTGATTGCAACCAGTTTCTGAGAAGCCACTTTAGCTGTGGCCTCAGGAGAGAGCTTCAGAGTGAGTAATAGTGTGTCATTTATGGAGAAGTGCTTGTTCCCACTACTGCGGGGCTTTTTCCCCCTGTCTCTAGCAGCATGGTTTTCCACAAGACTGTGGTCATCTTCTTTTGCCTTTACCAAATGCAGAGTTAGAAACCCAGAAGACCTTTGTTTTGAAGCAGGTGCGCAACTTTACTGTTAACATAGCTTAAATTAGTTTTATATTTTTGTGATTACATTCTTTTCAGTGGCATTAGCAGAAGTTAGAAAGAGATACGAGTTCAGGTTCTGTGTCAGAAGGGGATGAAGTGCTATAAACTTCACAATTCTGTGTAACGTTGCTGAAGTTGACTGCGCAAGGATTTATGTATTGTGTTGAAATTGAATTTGCTAGGATGAAGGATGAGAAATTGGATAAAGGAAAAAAAACAGTTGGTGAATGCAGTGTGTCATCTGTCACTTCTGTCTATGTTTGTCCTGTCTGACTATCTTAGATCTGGGAGCACGGATGGGGTGTTTGGACCAGTCAGAAATCCCTGGAGTTATTCAAGACAGTACAAGGAAAAATCTGTCCCAAAATCCCATTCTGAGGACAAAGAGTCTAACTGGGTAATAACGGGAGGGAGCTCAGGAGGCAGTGCGGCTGCTGTGTCATCTTTCACATGTTTTGCGTAAGAGGCTTTTTAAAGTTGTTTTGTATTAAACGTCTCAAAATATGTTGGAAGGTTTTAACTTTATAATTTTCTCATAATCTAGTTTGAAATGGGAGGATTATTTGCACTGGCATGCAAGAATTTATTTCAGTATCCTTAGTCTATTCGTGGCATATCATGCAGCCAGAATTAATCCATGTAGGCAAATTTAGGCTTATTCATTTTTAGTGTTATTCAGTGTACTGATATGGCCACTTTGTGTGAAATAAAATGATAATGGCAGTAAAGGAATGACAGTTTTATTCCTACATATTCTCTTAAAATTAACAAGGGAGTTGTGACATTCTCTTCCTCAGTAAGTGCACTACACAAATACACATTGAAAATGTAATTCAGCAAATGAGGAGATCCCTTAATTTGTAACAGTATAATAATCTTTCCTCCCCTCCTTTGTTTTTATAGCAGAGTTATGGGATAATACATGATATTTGGGATTTAAAAGCTTTCAGTTCCCTGACTTAACAAAATGATACATGGATACTTATTACAAAGTTACTTATAAACTTGTCTGTTTTAAAAAGAAGACAGTTCTATTTTTTGGGGGGGGATTTTGTTTGTTTGTTTGTTTTTAAAGGAATTTAAACAAGCCGGATTTTTTTTTTTTTACAATAATTATTATCTGTTTAACAAATCGGTTGTCTATACTGCCTTCCCCATCCAACTGTTGAAAGAAATCTGATCCTTAAAACTTTATACCTTTCATTTTGTGCAGTTTTTGGAGCTACACAGTGGAGCACATTTTATAGAAGATTATTTCAGTTGTGCTCTTAACTGGAAGGTGTTTAAGAATGCTCTGTAGTTACTGTGTCCTTGTTTACCCATAGACTATGTTATAAGAGTCTGTTTTCTTATTAAAGTATTTGTTGCTAATGTTCATTACAGCTTTTTAAAAAAAAATTATGTTTTTATATACAAAACCTGATTTATTTCATGATTTTTTTAAATGTTACTTCTCCTCATATCATTGCCCTTTGCTAGGATGTAGTCTACTCAACATTTTAATGCCATTGAAACTGAATTCAGTGCAGCCATTCCCATGGACTGCTGGTCCTTGTCCTGAGCCAGAACGGGGCTGATCCGGTGAGGGCCTGGCACCTTCTCTTTTGTTGCTGGGCATGCTGAACTCCCATTTTGCACTGCTCAGCACTTTGTCAGGTCAGGGAGATTTTTCATCCAACTATTTTATTGCCTATAACCTATTGTATATCCCTTCTATTAGTTTCTTTCAAGCATCAGGAATGCTGCCAGTCTTTGTCTTTTCAATTTGAGATTTGGATGTAAAGAAATGCTACGAAGTTGAAGATGTCTTATGTCAACACAAAAGCTTTGAAAAAATTCCACTTCAGCAAGGTCAATTGAATTGGTTCAGCCAACTTGGAAACAGATGCCTATGGGAAAAGCCACATACCCACTTCAATAAAAATTGTACCTCCTTCTGAAGTTTAATTTATTTTTGGCAAAGATGTGGATGAAAGCTGTTTTATTTTTTAAATGGTGCTGAAGTTAAAATTATTAAAAATAAGAGAAGAGCGGGTTTCATTTCAATCTGAATTTCCAATTCCATTACATTTTTTGAAATAAAAATTTCGATTTAGAAAGAGCAGGAGTTCACCTGTGAAAGACCAAAAAAAAGAAGTCAACTTAAAAAACAAGAAAACTAAAAAAAAAAATTACTATGGCCTAAAATTGCACCTAAGCTTCTGTAACCTGTGAGTTCTGATGCTATGCTTCGTAGGTTTGGAAAGAGAAAAAATGTCCTACACTTTGAAAAGTTTGCCCTCTTGTTAGGGGCAAGAAGTGTACTGTACTGTGTCGCTATTTATTTGTATAGTGGAAGATGCTGCTTCACAGTGTCTTGGCTACCGAATAAGTAAGATACCGATGTCTGAAAATCATACACTAAATCACGAGACATATCTTTCAGAGTCCACGGTATTGGAACAGACCGACAAAGAAGGTGGAAGTAGATGTTTAGGGCCATATTTGGATGGCCTAAATTCTACCTATCTACCTCTGCTTTGTGAAGGCAACTGGACTCTCCTGATGGCTAATTCAGAGACCCTAAGAAATATAAGGGAACAGATAAAAAATAGCAGACATAGGGAGCAGACTGCAATTTAGGCTGTGTGATTATGACTGCTAATCTGGAAGAATTCACACATTTTTAAATCCATGTATCTTAAAGCCATACGTTTTTATTATTTGGAAATGTTCTGAATTATTTTACTAATGATAATCCTTTTGAAATCATAGAGCCTTAGGGTCAGACACAGGAGGATCTACTCGAAACCCTGCTGCTCACTGTGGTGTAGTAGGTTTAAAGCCAACATATGGACTGATCTCTCGCCATGGTCTCATTCCTCTAGTGAACTCCATGGATGTGCCAGGCATCCTAACCAGATGTGTGGATGACGCAGCAGTTATGTTAGGTATTAGTTCTTCATATGGCTTTGTATACAACATTGTCTCAAAACAAATTGAGTTTGGCTACTTGGTGTACATTTTCCTGTTCTTCATATGTCATGTCATATCTCAGGTTCACTTGCTGGACACGATCCTAAAGACTCTACCACAGTTCAAGACAACTTTAAGCCATTTGAACTACCCAATTTGACTGATGTCAGCAAGCTCTCAATAGGAATTCCAAAGGTAACATTTCAATCCTGTCAACAATTGTGGACAGGAACAGCAAATAGGTCACCTAACAAAAAAATATTTGTCTTGTCCAACGCCTCCCAGACTCTCATGACTTAAAACAGCGAAGAGAGTACAAGCAACTCCTGGTAAAGAGCAGTATGTGCTCTGTTGCATGTGCGGGCGATTCGGAGCGAGCATATGCTTATGTTTCCTCTAAAACATTTTGTCATCGTTGAGATGCTTGCCTTTATGGCACTGGTTTAGTATGAAGCCGAATTTTAAAGGCAGTTGAGTGGCACAAGGAGCTGTGGTTCGCAGAGCTTTAATAAGGATTGAAAGACAGCTGTAATCTGGTTTATGATGTATGCAATTCAGTCATGTTTGTAACTATAAGGATACTTGCAATTTAGGCACAACATGTGGGACTTCGGCCTATTTTTAATTTAGTAAGGGCTCTGCCTTCAGAGAGGCAATGTGAGTAAGATTTATTGGTTTGATTCTGTATATTTGAACCTGTGCTAGAACAGGTATACCAAAAGATTTAATTTGGTAAACAGAGATGTCTGCTGACCAATTATTCAGGATCTGTGAAATGCAAAAATTGTATGCCTAGAAAATTAATTAGCTGCATACTGTTTAGATTTTTGATAAATCTGAAATTGTGGTATTCCATAATAATTCATATCCTTTGGACAGTAGTTTTCTACTGCTACAGATTATCCTAAACAGCTACATGCATGTATTAAACATGGGTCATAGCTACTCAGAAATCAGACAGTATTATGACCCTGATACTGTGGTTTAGAACTGAAGCAAGTAGCTTCAAAAATAGAGAATTTTAATAGAATATCTTTATCTTAGCTCTTAAAAAGGAACGTAGCTTATCTAAGTCTTCTCCCAACCCCTTGATTGTAGTTCTTCTTTAGTGGGTGGTTTTGTTTGCTTCACTGAGGCATGCCATTTGCCACTGATACTCTGTGGCCATGATTTCTTTTTATTTTTCTTACTCACAGCAGCTCTAGTATTAGGATTTAAACCTGAAGAGTTTCTACCCACAAACTGCAGAGCAGTGCAGTACAGTCTCCATTAATAGACAAAGAAGTGGATAACTGGGCAATTTCAGCAGAAGAAACTGCTGAAATTCTGTGGTCTGCGATATGTGAGTTGATCCTACTGAGATGAACATAATATGCTTAAGAAGGCTGAATCCTGTTAATTTAATATTATTTGATTGTATAATATTTAGTAGATGCAAGAAGCTTTAATAAGTACTTTAAATCATATAGTGGTGAGGTAATAGTTTCAATCTGGTTTTAGCAAAAAAAATAAAAATTGCATTTTGGTTGCAATTAGAAGTAAACCGTTATGTAAAATCACTCCCTTTCTTGTTTTTCTCTAAGGAATATCATGCGCCAGGGCTTTCTAGTGAAATTCTGGCTCTCTGGTCGAAGGCTGCTGACCTCTTTAAGAATGCAGGTGCTAAAGTAATTGAAGTGAGTCTACCACACACTCGTTACTCAATTGTCTGCTACCATGTGCTGTGCACAGCAGAAGTGGCATCAAATATGGCCAGGTTTGATGGACTGGAATATGGTAAGGCCTTTGAAAAAACTTTTTTCTCAGACAATAGAAACATTGCTGGATGCCATTAAAAAGTATTAGTTTTAATAGATACGCTTTCTGTGGTTGAATGTTATTTCTCCAAGATGAAATAGGGTGAAAACCCTGTCAAAATAAAAATTAGTAAATAAATACATACTGTAATATATTTCACTTCCAGACACATGAGTGTCTGGGCTTAAAATCTGTTTAATATTTCTATAATAAAGTGGGAATATGCTTTGTTGTTTGTCCAGAACAGTAGCATGTCAGACTGCAGCAAACAGTGGCCTATTGTATTACTATGTGTAACATTACCTTATGTTGTTAAATCTTAAGGATTACAAAAAGTATTAATTTCCAAATTGCTTTGTCTTTTCAGGACACCGTTCTGACATGAACAAATCCACAGAAAGTATGTATGCTGCAACACGACGAGAAGGCTTTAATGATGTTGTAAGAGGAAGAATTCTATCAGGAAACTATTTCTTGTTGAAAGAGTAAGCAGAATGTCTTGAAACTCAAATTTGCCAAGTTAACAATTTCTTAAGCAAGTGGTGGTTAGTCGTTCATCATGACATGCAAAAAAAATTGTCTTTACATTAGTAGCTTCTTGTATTATTGTTGTTGCTTTAGCTATATAATACCTATTGAACAGTTAATAATGAATAAAATTATTTTCCCTTAGTCTTACCAGTGAACCTCCTGAATTAAATAAGTAAAACAACTTAGTGATTTTTATTTTTTTCCCCTACTACAGTATTATTGGCACACATTAGTTAAATTAAGCAAAAATATATCCTATTGTATAACATTGAAGTCATACTAAAGCCATTACTGTCATAGTGTTTAAAGTTCTGTAGCTGTTAATCTCATTAAAACTGCATAGAAAAACTGCTGGTACGTTCTAGTGAGGTCTTCCAGAGAAAGCCAGAAGATACGGCAATTAAATTAACTGTAGCTCTTTGCCTCAGCGTACAGGGAATTGAAGCTACTGGCAAGGTACTGAACTCATGTCTTTACAGAAGACAGGTTTTTATCCAGCTCGTCAGGTGCCTGGATCAATTGGACTTTTTTTTCTTAGTTTTCAATCCTTGTCCAACAGTTCTAATTTATGTTAGTAAAACTGCTGGTTTTCTCTGTCTGAATTTGTTCAGATACTAACAGAACTATTAGTTGTGTAATCAGTCTCAAAGCAAGTGCACTACAGAAAGAGCTCTGTCAGCAAGAGTATTCATCAGATGTGACTTCTGGTTGCTCTCAGAGACAGGAATGTTGTCGGTCAGTATGTAACAACCAGTATGCCGATACTCCTGCCAAGTGTGCTCCTTCTGGTTACAACCATCCGTATCAGCTTTCCTAAGGCTGCTTTAAAATTCATGTAGTTCACCCTTCTGTGAAGGAATGTACAATTGGCTTCCATCAGGATTGAACAGGAGAGTCCTATTCCTGTCCACAGTAAATTAGTTGAAGAACAGAACCCAGGGTTCAGAAAGCATTCTTAGAATAAATAGTGGAGGAAAACCATCTGTGTGTCCTGCAAATGTTGCATTTTACAGATTATTTTTATCTTGCTTTTGAAATCTGTAAAATAACTAGGGGGTTGTTCAGGAAGTTCTGTGTAATATCTTTATCAACGATCTAGATGAGAGGATCGAGTGCACCCTCAGTAAGTTTGCAGATGACACCAAGCTGGGGTGGGAGTGTTGATCTGCTGGAGGGCAGGAAGGCTCTGCAGAGGGATCTGCACAGGCTGGATCGATGGGCTGAGGGCAACTGTATGTGGTTCAACAAGGCTCAGGGCCAGGTCCTGCACTTGGGTCACAACAACCCCATGCAACGCTTGGGGATGAGTGGCTGGAAAGATGCCTGGCAGAAAAGGACCTGGGGGTGTTGGTCGACAGCCGGCTGGACATGAGCCAGCAGTGTGCCTAGGTGGCCAAGAAGGCCATCCTGTCTTGTGTCAGAAATAGCATGGCCAGCAGATCCGGGGCCATGATTGTCCCCCTGTACTTGGCACTGGTGAGGCAGCACCTGGAATCATGTTCAGTTCTGGGTCCCTCACTTCAAGACAGACCTTGAGGTGCTGGAGCGAGTCCAGAGAAGGGCAACGAAGGTGGTGAAAGGTCTGGAGCACAAGTCTGATGGGGAGTGGCCGAGGGAGCTGGGGGTGTTTAGCCTGGAGAAGAGGAGGCTGAGGGGGGACCTGATGACTCTCTACGACGACCTCAAAGGAGATTGTAGCCAGGTGGGTGTCAGTCTCTTCTCCCAAATAACAAGCAATAGGACAAGAGGAAATGGCCTCAAGTTGTGCCAGGGGAGGTTTAGATTGGATATTAGGAAGAATTTTTTCACCCAAAGGGTTGTCAAGCACTGGAAGAGGCTGCCCCGGGAAGTGGTGGAGTCACCACCCTGGAGGCATTTAAAAGATGTGTAGGTGTGGTACTGATGGACTTTCTGAAGTTAACAGCTAGGATGATTTCGGAAATGATTGTAGAAAAAGGGCTAATTCCCATTATATAACTTCTTAACTTGAATCTGCTGTCTATTATTGGTTATAACCATTTTCATTGCAGTTTTTCAGAAGCTTAATACTCCAGTGAAGTGGCTTTTGGGCAGTTTCAGTTGTTTTATCTACAAACACTCGGGCATGTAGCAGTTATTAATACTTCTTCCCTCCCCCCCCTTTTTTTTTTTTTAATAGCTGCGGTTTTAGATGGCAATTACTTTTGAAACCGAACTTCTCTGAATTTAAGGATTCCACATTCACCAGTTCTGTATATGAAGTTAAAAGGAACAAGAGACATAAAGATGACTACTTTGTTTCTGCTTCAGAATTGTGTAAAGACAGTTTAGAAATCCATAGACCACATGTTTACGTGAGAAAAAGAGGTTAGGGAAGGATAAGGTCTTTATAGTATTCTATGGAGAAGTATACTACAAACACATACATAATTTTAAGTCCATTTGGAGTCCTCCGTAGATGATGGGAGTTTTTCACATCCTCCAAGTATCTTACTGGATTGAATCCTAAGTGATTAATGCCTATTTTCCAGGCCTGCTTATTTCTGCATTATTTCTAGGCTTTGCTGTGTGCTGCCCTGCAGTGAAATTCAATACATAGTTTAGTTTCAGAATGGTCATAAAAGTGTGGTTTTGATTTATAGTTAATTATTGTGAAATAGGGTTTTGTTTTCCCTTCAGCTTTCTTCAGCAGTATGCCCTCATCTCTTCCTTCTCTGACAGCTCGGTTGCTGTGAGAGCTTAAACACCATGTTTGATGACTAAGCTTCTGGTGTATCAAAAACTCAAGTATTTGTGTTAGTCTTTTAACCAAAAGGAATATTGGGCTTGTCTTTTCTACAGTAACTAAAAATTAGGTTCTGTATTTTTGGAATTAAAGTGTCAGGCCCTCATGTCCATATTTCTTTCTAGGAACTATGAGAATTACTTTATCAAGGCACAGAAAGTCAGACGTCTCATTGCCAATGACTTTGTCAAGGTTTTTCGGAGCGGCGTTGATGTTTTACTCACTCCTACCACTCTGAGTGATGCAGTACCATATATGGAATTCATCAAAGAAGACAACAGAACCCGCAGCGCCCAAGATGACATCTTAACACAGGCTGCAAACATGGCTGGTGAGTAAGGACAGGAATTCAATGGTTTTCCCCTGCCTAGTCATTTTTAACGTCCATTCCCTTCAGCTATTTAACCTCTTCTTTAGAATCAAGATGTAAGTCTTACAATGATAAGCGGAGCCAAAATAGCTTAGCAGAGCCGAAATAGCTCAGTTGGGAGAGCGTTAGACTGAAGATCTAAAGGTCCCTGGTTCGATCCCGGGTTTCGGCAGAATTGTTTTACAGGCTGGATCGATGGGCCGAGGCCAA